TGGGGTGCAGAGCTTGTATGTTTGGGAAGTGTTTATTAGGTCTTTGATGACGCTTCTCATGAATGAGAAAGGCTGACCCTCAGCTGCAGCCCTGGCCCTGGAAACAGCCCCTTCCTGCCCTTCTGTGTCCTGCTCCAGCACTTCTCACACGATTCTTGCTTAGATAATTGTTTGCTTTGGTTATTGCTTCCTTCAATTGAGTTCAGCCCTCAGACGGCCGGACTAATGAGGACGATAGCGGAGAGGCTGAAATGACTGCATGGCTGGCCCTGGATAGCCTCCCATTCTGCATCCGTGGACTCCAGCAACTGCAGAGCAAAAGTAGCAGGGGAAGGGGCTGGGGGGTGCTGTAGAGCTCTGTCTTCCAAACATAATACCCATCTTTATCAGCCGCCATCTTTTTAACTGAAGTTTTGAAAATTTTATGCAATATATTTTGACCATATTTAGAACCCCTTCTCCATCTGCACCCCTCTTATAGCTCCTTCCCATGGATGTCGTGTGCTCTGTCATATATTCTAAGGCCTATAGAATCAAAGTTTTGTCCCCAAGAGTCCTTCAGTGTGTGTCCACCCACTGGAACCTGGTTAACCTATGTAGCATCACACCCTTAAAGAAAGCTGACTTTCCCTCTCCCGGCAGTTATTATCTCCCTCAGTTAGCTGAGGTTGGGCTTCTTACCCATTTCCCACGTCTATGCTGGGATTTTGTCTGGCTTGAGCTTGCATGGTTCTTGTGCATGCTGTCACCATTGCTGTGAGTTCATATGAGTAACTGCCCAACTGTCTGGAAAACTTCATTTCCTGTGATCATCTACTACCTCTGACTCTTACAATCTTTCTGCCCCCTCTTCTGCAATGGTCCCTGAGCCTGGGGCGGCAGAGATTTGAAATAGGTGTGCTATTTAGGGGAAACGACTCTGCAATCTCTTATTCTCTGCACTTCGTCAGTCACCATCTTTATCAGGGCAGATGTGACTGCTTGCAAGAGGCCCCAACAGTTTTTTGACTATTGACATTTCCTCATAGAAGGAGGTATGGGGCTGCTGGAGAGATGGCCCAGAGGTTAAGAGCACTGACTGCTCTTGTAAAGAGCCCAGGTTCAGTTCCGAGCACCCATGCAGTGGCTAACAACCATCTATAATTCTAGTTCTGGGAGATCCGATGCCCTCTTCTGGCCTCTGTGGGCATTGTACTCATGTGGTGCACTTATATACCTGTAGGCAAAATACTCACACAGTAAAAACTTTTTTAAATAACAGTATCAGGGGCTAGAGAGATGGCTTAGTGGTTAAGGGCACTGGCTGCTCTTGCAGAGGATCTAGGTTCAGTTCCCAGCACCCACATGGCAGCTAACAACTGTCTATAACTCCAGTTCCAGAGGATCCGATGCCCTCAATGGCTCTCCACCTTATATACTGAAGCCAAGTTTCTCACTTGAACCCCAGACCTCAGTGGTATTGACTAGCCTGGCTAGCCAGCTTGCTTGTTTCTGGGTTTCCCTGTTTGTCTCTTGTGCGTTGGGATTACAGGCTTTTATGTGGGTTGGATCCAAACTCTTCATACTTTTCTGGTAAGTGCTTTGACCCACTGGGCCATCTCTGGAGCCCACAAATGCCTTTGAAATGCCCCTAACTGTGTAATTTAAAATGGTTAAGGTAGCTGGGCATAGTAATGCATGCCTTTAATCTCAGCAATTGGGAGGCAGAGGCAGGTGGATCTCTTGTGAGTTCCAGACCAGCCTGGTCTACATACCCAAGTTCCAAGCCATCCAGGGTGACATGGTAGGACCCTACATCAAAAATAAATAAATAGCCGGGCATTGTGGCACATGCCTTTAATCCCAGCACTCGGGAGGCAGAGGTAGGTGGCTCTCTGTGAGTTCAAGGCCAGCCTGGTCTATATAGTGAGTTCCAGGACAGCTGGGGCTATAGGGAGACCCTGTCTCAAAAAGACCAGAACAAACAAACAAACAAAAAACCCAAAAGTAAATAAATAAATAAATTAATTAATTAATTAAAAAAATAGGGGCTGGAGAGATGGCTCAGTGGTTAAGAACACTGACTGTTCTTGCAGAAGACCTGGTTTTGAATACCAGTACCCCCATGGCAGCTAACAACTGTTCGTAACTCCAGTTCCCGGGGATCCGACAGCCTCTTCTGTCCTCTGTGGGCATTGCATGACATGGGTGCACTTACCTACATGCAGGCATAACACTCATACACATAAAATAAAAATAATAAATAAAATGTTAAAAAAAAAAAGGGTTAAGATTGCAGATTTTTTTGGGAGCAAGGGTCTCATGTAGTCCAGGCTGGCCTTGAACTCCTTACTTAGACAAGGATGACCTTGAACTTTTGATCTTCCTGTCTCTACCTCCTGAGTGCTCGCAAGACAGGCATGTGCCACCATGTCTGTTGTGTGCAGTGCTGGGGATCAAATCCAGCACTTTGTGCATGCTGGGTATGCGCTCTACCAACTGAGCTACCTCCCCAGCTTGAGGAGGAAGTGTCTCTGGCCTGTGTATTTTACAAAAGTTAAAAATTGGTTTCTCCATTCTTTAACCACATCACTAGCCACAGGAGAGAAGGGGTTACAGCAGTGGATGGTTCACATGGAGAGCTTTTCAGTCATCCTAGAGAGTTGAATTAGACACCAGGGCTGCTGGTACGTGGAGGTTTCAGGAGCCATTTTTGTTCCCCAGGTCTGGCCAGTGGACTGGGATTCATTTGGTGTTGGAAGAGTTCAGATAATTTGGGATTTGGGGTGAACACACTTCATGGCTTTCCAATCCTGCTTCCAATAGTACAGGAAGGAAGGGAACCAGGCACTTTCAAGAGCAGGCCAGGCATGTATGCAGAGGACTACCTAGGGTCTGCCAGGCCACAAATGAGTTCATAAGCTGCCTGGGAAAGGGGGAGGGGGTTTTGAGACACAGGACAGATGCCGAGGGGCTGGAGTGAAGAGGAAATTAGGAAGTGGGTTGAGGAGGTGACTCAATTGCCACGCAAGTGTCAGGACCTGAGTTTGGATGCCCAGACCCATGTAAAGCTGAGTGAAGTGCATGTGTCTGCAACCCATCATTCACACAGGACGATGGGCGAGTGTGTCGGAGAATTCCCTGGAAACTTGTGGGCCAGCTAGCTGGGCATAGGCAGCAGTGTGTAATAAAGGGACCTTGTCTCAAACAAGGTGGAAGATGAGGACCAATACCCAAGGTTCTCCTCTGACCTCCATGTACATGCCCATGCCCAGCCCTTCACTGGGGGAATTCTAGGTAGGGGCTCTGCGCATGCGCGCGTGCACACACACACACACACACACACACACACACACACACACAGAGGTAATTAAGAAGTGATGAACAGTGGAGTAATGAAGAGTAAGGGCTGATGGAGGGAGCTGGGTAGGGGCCAGCCTGCCATGGGCAAGTTCACTAGCATCAAACTAGAAAGTCCTCTAGGTCAGAAGTGGAGGCGCAGGCTGTGCCCTTAATGGAAGGGCTGCTACTCCTTTGAGTATGAAGATCTTTTCATTTCTCAAGTTGTAGCAGAGCCAGATGTGGTAGTACAAGTCTGTTAATGCAGCTACTAGGGAGGCTAAGAGCAGGAGGATGGCAAGCTCATTTAGCCTAGGCAACAGAGTGAGTTCAAGGAGAGCCCGAGCAACTTAGTGAGATCTGGATGCAAAATTAAATATGTACAAGAGCAGATGTGTGCCAGGGTGGAGCCCCTGCTTAGAATCCCCCAGTGAGGGGCCGGGGTGTGACTCAGGGGTGGAGCCCCTGCTTAGAATCCTCCAGTGAGGGGCTGGGGTGTGACTCAGCAATAGAGTTCCTGCCTAGAATGCCACAGTGAGGGGCTGGAGGTGTGGCTTAGTGATGGAGCACCTGCCTAACTTAAAAAAAAAATATTTTATTTATTATTTTTTATTTTATTGTATGAGTGTATTGCCTACATGTATGTGAATGCACCTGTGTTGTGCAATGCTGCGGAGGTCAGAAGAGGGCTTTGGACTCCCCTGGAGCTGGAGTGCTAGGAATCAAACCCAGGTCCTCTGCAAGAGCAGTCAGTGCTCTTAACCATCTCTCCAGCCCCAACCTGCCTAACATTTTTAAGCCCTGCATTCCATCACCAGCAGTGGAATAAATAGCTAAATAAATAAATTAACTAAAATCACATAAACCTACAATTAAACAAATCATGTTTAAAACAAATAATCAAAACTTCAGCACTTCCTAGTTATGGCATAGCATTTTAAAGACTTATTTTTATTTATATTTGTGTGTGTGTGTGTGTGTGTGTGTGTGTGTGTGTGTCTGTTTGAGTATATGCCAAGTGTGTGTGGTGCCTGTGGAGGCCAGAAGAGAGTGTCAAACACTCTGGAGCTGGAGTTACAGGCAGTTGTGAGCTTCCACCTTGATGTAGATGCTGGGTACTGGACTCAGGTCCTCTGGAAGAGCATTAAGCAAGCTCTCTTAACTGCTGAGCCATCTCTCTAGCCCCTAGTATAGAACTTAAAAGAAATTCTCTGCCTGGTGTGGTGGCGCATGCCTCTCAGGAGGCAGAGGCAGGCAAGTCTTTGTGAGACTGAGGTCAGCCTGGTCTCCATAGCAAGTTCCAGGCCAGGTGGGGCTACAGAGATACCTGGTCTCAAAAAAAAAGAAAGAAAAACCATGTGTCTTTGAATTTATTGACTGTTGCTCAGTCATAGGTTTGGGCTGCGTGGATTTGGGGATGCATTGTTTGATGGTGTGTTTCTGGTGTTGCTTGTCATATGCTCAGTTCAGGAACTTTCGGTCAGTCGTTTGAAGTTGGAAATTGGCACACACTGTGAGTTAGGTTTGGGGGCTTTGGGTGACCTCACTCATTTCATAGACTGCTCTGCACAGACGAGGTGCTGTGTAAGCATGGCTGTTACTGTTGTTTTGTTTGGCAGTCTGTACAGACAGAAAATGGGCAAAGCCATTGACCAGCTGTGTGTGTTTTTTTTTTCCTCTAGTGTGCCCAACCATCTGTAAATCACATGGCTGCACAGCGGAAGGCCTGTGCTGCCACACGGAATGCCTGGGCAACTGTTCTGAGCCTGATGACCCCACCAAGTGCGTGGCCTGTCGCAATTTCTACTTGGAAGGTCGGTGTGTGGAGACCTGTCCGCCCCCCTTCTACCACTTCCAGGACTGGCGCTGTGTGAACTTCAGCTTTTGCCAAGACCTGCACTACAAATGCAAGAACTCAAGGAAGCCAGGCTGCCACCAATACGTCATTCACAATAACAAGTGCATCCCTGAGTGTCCTTCTGGCTACACCATGAACTCCAGCAAGTGAGTCCTGGGTCTGGCTCTGTGGAGGGCCACATGGAGGGGGAAGGAATTGGAAGCCCGTGATAAGGTTAAAACTGTTAAAGGGCGCAGAGGATGTAGCTTAGTTGGGAGAGTAGCTGCTTAGCATGGAAGTGGCACTGGGTTCCATACTCAGTTCCACATAAATTTGGCGTGGTGGTGTGCACCTGTCATCTCAGTACTTAGGAGGTAACGCAGGACAACTAGGAGTTCAGGGTTATCCTTGCCTACATAATGAATTCAAGGCTAGCCTGGACTACTTGAGATCCTGTCTCAAAAACTGAAAATAATTGCTGGGTGTAGTGGCTCATGTCTTTAATCCCAGCACTTGGGAGGCAGAGGCAGGCAGATCTCTGAGAGTTTGAGGCCAGCCTGGTCTACATAGTGAGTTTCAGGCCAGCTGGGGCTACAGGGAGACCCTGTCTCAAAAAGACCAAAAAAAAAAAAAATTGAAAATAATCAAAAAAGCCTGTTAAGGGTTAGAGAGATGACTCAGCAGTTAACAGCACTGACTGCTCTTGGAGGGGACCCAAGTTCAATTTCCAGCACCCATATAGTGACTAACAGCTGTCTCTATCTCAAGTTCCAGGGAGTCAGATGCCCTCTTTTGGCTCCCACAGGTACTACACACATGTGCTGCACATGTACATGCAAGCAAAACATTCATACACATAAAAAATTAAAATAAGTCAAAATAAAAACCTGTTTAGTGATAGAAGTAATGATGAAGGCTTGTCTGTTAAAACTGTGTGCACTGGTGAAGAATGAGGTTTCTGTTAATATTTGTCATTTAAAATTTTTATTTTCTATGAGTGTGTGTGTTCACATATGTTTGTGCATGTGTATGTGGAGGCCAGAGGCTAATGTTGGGTGTCCTCCTCAATCACTCTCCATTTTATTATTTATCTTTTTAAAACCTTTGTGTGTGTGTGTGTGTATGCACATGTGTGTGAGCATGCACGCATGCATATGCATGCAGGTGCCTGAGTAGGCTGGGAGGGTGGGGCATCAGATTTTCTGTAGCTGGAGTTGTGAGGAGCCCAACCTGGACATTGGGAACCCAACCTGGGATGTCGCCAAGAGCAGCCGGTGCTTTTAACAGCTGAGCCATCTCTAGTCCCCACTTTTATTTTTGAGGCAGGGTCTCTTACTTAACATGGAGCTCACTGATTTGGCTAGGCTGGCTGGCTAGTAAGATCCTGGTGTCCTCCTGTCTCTGCCTCCTCAGCATTGGGATTATAGGCAAGCCTCTGCATCTGTTTTTTAACTTGGGTTTTGGGGATCCAAACTCAGGTCCTCACACTTGCACAGCAAGAAGTTTGCCACTGAGGTATCTTCCCAGCCATTTAGTAGCCATTTCTTTTATACACACACACACACACACACACACACACACACACACACGTGTATGCACACACACATATAATTTTTGTGTGTGCATTTCACACCTCTTGTTTGGGTCCAAGGCTTTGACGAAGGACTTAAATTTTTTTCCCCTCTGTGTGAAAGATCAGATAGGATGCATATCTAACATCTGATTTGCTTTCATTTTTATTTTATGTGTATACATATTTTGTCTGCATGCTATGTAAGTGCACCGGTGCATGCAATGCCTGAAAAAATCATAGACAGTTGTTGGTCACCCCATAGGTGCTGGGAACTGAACCCGGCTCCTCTGCAGGAGCAGCCAGTGCTCTTAACTGCTGAGCCAGGCCTCCTGCCCCTGGAATTCTCCCTTTTCACCTGTGATCCTCACTGCCTCAGTTAAGTTACCAGGAAGGCAGCTATGGTTGCTGGTGTCTTACCCCACCCTCAACCTGTAGCTAATTCTGGAACACACTGTTTCCAGGAGGGAAAGAACAGGAGCTGTTATTCCTCTTCCCCGAGCTTGGCTGTTCTTTGAAGGACGGACTCCATCAAACTGTTTCCTAACATTTGGGTGACAAACAGAGTTTTCTGTTTTTAGCAATGAGTCAGGTTTCCTATATGTACCTAGACATTTTGTTCATGGATGAGATTTTTTTAAGTGTCTGGGGTCATCATCAAAGTGTATTTTTTAAAAAAAATCTGTTCCCTACTTTTTGTGTCAGGGTTAAAAAAGAACTGATCAGCAAAGAACAGAAAACTAAATCAGAAACAGATACATGTCATGAGGCCTTGAGCTGACCCACTGACGTCAAAATTTTTTCCTCTTCAGACTTGGGAGCTAGCCAAGCGAGTGAAAGAGGGTGTTTTGGTTTTGGTGGGAAATTTTATTTCCCTGGGTGGAGAGGGCGAAAAGGAAAACAATCTTTATTTCAGCCCCTGTGAACCTTTCCTGTAGTGTTTTTGAACCCTGAAAGTACAATATGTTTTGTTTTGCTCATTTTTGATTAAAAAAAAAAAAAAAACCAAACCAAAACAGCAAGTATCTTTGTTGACCCAAAACAGACCTTTATAAATCACTTTTGTTTATTGAATGGAACTTTTTTTTAATTGAAGGAGGGAGGAAGTTTAACAGTAAAATTGTAGATGAGGAAAAGGAACATTGCTTTTTAAAGAAATACTTTTTATTTATTATTATTATTTATGAGTAAGTGTATTGCCTGCCTGTATATGACTGCTTTTGTATCGAGCAATGCCCGCAGAAATCAGAAGACAATGACAGATCTTCTGGAATCGGAGTTATGGACAGTTGTTAGCCCCCATGTGGGTGCTGGGAATTGAATCAGGGTCCTCTGCATGAGCAGCCAGTGCTCTTAACCTTGGAGCCATCTCTCCAGCTGTGGAAACATTGCTCTTTTTTTATCCATTTCATGTTTTTTTTTTTTCTTTTCACATTTGAAAGAAAGATTAGAGAGACTAAAGATTTCTGTTGAGCTTTGTTTAAAAAATACTGGGTTTGCAGCTCAGTAGATAAAAGCATTTGTCTTACAAGCATGAGGACCACAGTTCTGATCCCCCAGAACCCGATTGTTGTGGAATCTGGTCTGTCATTCTAGACTCTGAAGATAGATTTGGGATCCCCACAGGAAGGTGACTAGCTAGACCAGCTGAACTGGTGACCTCTGGGTTCAAGTAAGAGACCCTGCCTCACTATGTAAGGTAGAGGGCCAGCCAGATGGCTCAACAGGTAAAGGTGCTTACTGCTCAGCCTGACACCCTGAATTTGATCCCTGGGTGTTGGGGACCCCTGTTGTGTAAAGTAGCAGTCTCTCCATGTCTGGATAGCCCATGGGCTCGGCTTCATATGCAGAGGCTCCTTTTATCAGCAGGGTGCCTTCCCAGCACCTTCCTGACTCATCTTTTGAAGTAGCTGTCACAGAAACATGGCCTCTGGTTCTGAAACTGCCAGGTTTTCCTGTGTGATTTTCAGGCAGTCTGACAGCCTGGCAGGAGCCTACCTCTACATGTAAATAGGGCATCCTACAAAGTACCTATCAGCTAAGGCTTTTACCACTACCCCCACAGTATAAAGTATCCTGGTTTTCCCTCAATAATTGGAGCTGAATCACTAAGACCCGGAGCCGAGCTGAGTCACTAAATAAAGGAGCTGTACTGAGCTGAGTTCTGTGTCTTACTGCCTATGATCCAGTCTTCCCTGAGAGCGCTGTCTCTTTGTAAGCCACGGCTCACGGAAACCCTGCTTTCGTCTCGCACCTCCCCTCGTGACCTGGTGGCCAACGTCCAGAACTTAGAGAGAGAGTGCACAGTGGAAATTGAAACGGAACCGACCGGGCAGCTGACAGCCGTCCTAGAGCCGCCAGCTCCGGTAGCAGAGACCCACAGCAAGGCGGAGACCCACAGCAAGGCGGTGCGGGACACGCACGCACCCCAGAAACACGGTGCGCAACCTGCCGCACCTCAGTGGCCCGCGGGAGACCGGCGCCACGCCCAGCAGCTGGCGCCCCAAGATCCCCGCACCCCATACCTGGGGACCTACATGGCGGAAGGAGAGAACCACTCCTGAAAGTTGTCCTCTGACCTCCACATGCATGCTGTGGCATACATATGCCCAGACATGTACACACATACACATACACATACACCACACACACACACACACACACACACACACACACACACACACACGCTAATAAATGTAAAAAAAAAATAAATATATTTGGAGAGCCATTGAGGAAGTTGGCCAATGTCAACTGTGAGCCTCCACACATGGTAGTAGACATGCACCCTACCCTCACACACACATTCAGCCACACATCAAAATGCCTACACACACACAAATGCAAAAAAAAAACCCAAAAAACAAACAAACAAAAAACTGTAAACCTACATTGGGTTTATAAAAGACACTTTTTTTGTCCACACTATAATTGAGATTGTGACTGAAATGTGGGAAGTTCCTTTGACATTCTTATTAATGGTGGGTTAAAACTTGGAACAAGGGGCTGAGGAGATGGCTCAGTGCATAACAGTGCTTACTGTGCATGAACTGTGTTTGAATCCCCAGAACCCATGTAAAAAGCCAGGTGTGGCCTTGTGTGCTTGTAACCCAGCTCTGTGGGGAGCAGAGACAGGAGAATCTCTGGGCGTTGTCGACTGCCAGCCTAGTCTCCAGTTCAGTGAGGGGCCCCGTCTCAAGGGATAAGGCAGAGAGTGATAGAGCAGGACGCCTGATGCTTTCTTCCTCTGTCCTTCACACATGCATGGGTGTTCACACCTGTACATACATGTGTACACATATGCATACACTTCGCTCTTTCACACACACATAGACACACATACAGAAGAAAAAACAAGGCATTTTAACAGCATCAGGTAGAATGAGAAATTCATGACTTAGAAAAAAATCCTAACGTAAACCAAGAGGAAAAACCTAACTCATGATATTCATTTGAATACACAAAGTTTTAACAATTAATATTCTTATGTCTGAATCTCTTGATTTCTGAAAGAGTTTATAATATTGTTGCATTTTGGAAGGTGGTTTGATATCAAACAGGGCCATATATATGGATGTATATTTTTTTCCTTTCTTGGTG